AACTTGACCTCTGTAGTTACACAGACCAAGGTTCAAATTCTGGCTCATTCAACTGTTTGTGTGACTGTGAGCTGTGTTTTTAAGTCCTATTATTTTAATTTATTTAACATTTCCTCCCCCCCCCCAAAGCCCCAGTAGATAGTTGTATGTCATAGTTGCACATCCTTCTAGTTGATGTACGTGGAACGCGGCCTCACCGTGGCCGGAGAAGCGATGTGTCGGTGCGCGCCTGGGATCCAAACCCGGGCCGCCAGCAGTGGAGCGCGCACACTTAACCACTAAGCCATGGGGCCAGCCCAATTTATTTAACATTTCTAAGCCTTAATTTCCTCATCAGTTAAATGAGAATAACAATAAAATGTGCTTTAGGAAAGAATTAAATAAGATAATCCTTATAAAGACACTTAATATAATGAACTTTAACAGTTATCACCACTATTATTATTTGAGATTTTAATCTTAGAAAGCAAAACAGCATTTTAAAATAACTAACTTTAATTTGTACCAGAAAAATAACAAAAAGCAGGCGTTGTTTCATTTTAACAATTATAATGATATACAAATACGATATTAATAATTCTTATTTTTTTATTCATTCGAAAATTGCTTACTGAGTTCCTAGTATGTACCAGGCACATTTCTAGCCCCCAGGAATATAGCTTCAAACAATATGGACAAAGTCCTTGGTCCTCTTGGAGCTTACATTTTATTAAGGAGGTAAAATAAACACAAAAATAATATTTTCTTTCGTAAGTGCTATGATGAAATACAAAGCAAAGTAAAGAGGTGGAGCTTGGTGATGGAAAACGGAGAAGATAGTTTACGTAGGGACATCAGGAAAATCCTTTGTGGTGAGGTAATAATTGAGCATATATCTGCATACTAAGTGAAATGAATGACCAGTAAAATTCTCAGTCTTCATTGAGTCTTCGATAATGTAGCATATTTCGGAGATATGCTAAATATGAAGAAATGTATAATCTATTCTTCTTTTGAAGGAGTGCTTTTCTGTTGATTTGCTAGTTCAGTTATTTTTTAACTTAAAGGTAAGAAACTACTTTGACAGAATAGAAGTCTCATCATATACTTACACAAGCAGTATCTTGATACTGAAATGAAAAAGATGTATCAAAGATATATTTAGAGGAAATTACTGTTTTTAATTATATACCAATGAAGAGAGAAAAAGGAGATAAAAATGGGAAAAGAAGAAAGACTTGCTTTGCCTTCTGCTTCTATTATATTTTAGCCCAATTCTACCCCACAGTGGCTGACCCCATATGGTGACTTCTGCCAAATTAAAGAGTCATGTGATATGGATATGGTCTTTCATGGCTTTATGGCCTAACTCTGTGCCAGGCACTATGTAAATCCTCTACATGTAACAACAAAAGCATTTGATCATTTGCTTTTAGAAGTTCTCTGACCTAATAATGTTGGCTGACTCTAAACAATGGAAAGCAAAGACATGCATTTATGAAAGGGTGTTTTTGCTGCCGGGGATGGTTATCTTCTTAGGTTTGTTTGCATCTCTCTCATTGTTGAGTTAGGCAGCAATGGGAATTGAATCTTAAAGCCAGTGTTTTGTAGGGGAGGTAAAAAATTGTCCAGTATTATTTTTCCAGCTATATGATCTAAAATAAGTCACTTAACCTCTCTAGTACTGATTTATCTAATATAAAAGTTAGGTTGTTTAAATCGTTAGGGCCTTAGAAACTATCTCTAATATTGTCTGATCAGAATTCTCATCTTAGCTAAGATAATCATTATTGGGTATGTGGAAAAATGCTTATTGGTGTGTATTATTTTAAATGGAAGTAGACACATGGAAAAATCTTAAGTATAAATGCCAAAGTTCAGAGTATTAAGTAAAATTGATTTTTTTTGGCCCAGGAAAAAAAATCTCAGTGATTGTCTTTGTGAGAACAATGTTGAAGTTGGAATTGGCACTAATTTGGCCAATGTGCTCGAATTATTTTGATTGGGTTTTTAAATTTTAGTTCTTAATTGTAAAGAAATTTTGAGCAGTTTTATATTTTTTTGTATGTACACACATACACATAGGCTTGGCTGGTCTGAAAAAAGAAGTGACACAGAAAATGTATTCTGATAGACTCCTGAAAAAAACCCAGGAATTTCAGTTCTGCTTCGGGGCTTGTAATACAGGACCATTCACTAAATAAATGTCTTGTGATTATGGGTAGTCTGCCAAGCCTTTATTCTCTAATTTATTAAATGTAATTTTAAAATTCTGATTAGCTTTTAAAATATATTTTTTAAATAGCTCTTAATTTTTTCAGCTAACTTTAGATTTATTTTTCCATACCCTTTTACATATATTAGTATATTTAATCCTCACACAAACCCTATGAAGTAGAATACCATTGTTAGTGTCACTTTTCAGATGAGGAAACTGAGGCACAATGATGGTAACTTGACCAAGGTCACAAAGAGAAGAGAGCTCCTCTGGGATTTAAATTCATCTCTGATGAATGACTAGTAACAACTTTATCTTAAATGCAGGAAATGAGCATGTTGCTAGAAGGGGCTACTTTGTTATTGATCAAAAAGCCTTTTTTGGTTTGTTTGTAGTGCATGGAATTAAGATGGAGTTTGAGCATGTGGAAGCAGAATACTTAGATTTGGCCAACTATTTTGGAAGAGAATACTAGAAAACAGTTTGACATGGTGCCAAATCAAAAACAAACTTTTTTTTTGCCCTTTTCCAAAAAAGACTGGACTATAATGAATACTTAATTTGTACTAAAATGTGAATTTATTTTATTTGAATGTTTTAACATGTAGCAGTCTTGCAAATTGGGACCATTTTGTCTCGAATCTATTAACAAGTTTATCAGCTGATCTTTTCTCCATAAGGTAAATAGATGGTTCCTGTTTTAATAATTTCTTAGCTTAAATTATAATTCACTTTAATCAATGGATGAATGCTTAGTTATAAGCACTTGTGTGCACAGATCTGCTGAATTATGTCAGATTGGTAAAGATTTCTTACTTGAATTCCAAAAGTCCCTTGTTCTTTGAATACTACACAGGTTTAATGGGGAACTAACTTGTAAGGGTTAGACATATAACTGAAGTCCTTTATCCAGAAAAAGTTTCCACCAAATCCTTAATTTTCCTAACGTAAACACATTAATAAAAGAGCTTTGTTGGCTAAGTCTTTCTTCTGTAGGCAGTTATTTTCTTATCAATGAATTAGTGTATTGGGGGTACTAGGTAAACGCCAATGTAGAGTTGCTAGTGGCAATTTAATTAGGTTCCTTTATAAGGGATTCAAGCATGAGAACGGTATTTTCCATAAGTTTAAATTTACTGTTAATCTCTTCTGAAGATTATCCATTCTAGGTTTGCGGGTTTTCTTGTTCTAGGTAAAGCTGTAAAAAGTTTTTCTTCGTGTGGTTAAACAATATTGTATTATCCTATGGGACAGTTGTTTGTGCACAGAACAAATGAGTGAGAACAGTTTTCATTTAGAATGCTAAAATTAGGATAAAATTCACATTGGTTCACCCTAAGCAGTAATAAGATGTATTATGTGCTAAGCACTTAACTTTCCGTGCTGCTCATGGTGGTTGGGGGAAGGCCCCTAGAGGGAGAAAGACTGGCTGAAACTGGCTTGATTTGTCACTCATGATTACTTTGTCATTTCTATAATAAACTGTCTAGCAATTAGAATGTACTGTGTTTGTGACACCAGTAGTGGCAAATTCTCTTTTCATTTGTGCTATGATTATCCTTTTTTGGTAGAAGATTCCTTACTGTTCTCTAAAATCTGGAATACACGGGCCATGTTTCATAAACTGTTTCAAACAACACTAGTTGTTCACGGTGTTGATAGGTGTTAAATAGAAAAAAAGAGGTCTCTAGTCAAAAAGTGGGTAATACCTGGTTAAAGTATGTTCACCAGTCATCTTGACCGTAACACTGCTCAGAACTGTTAATGTGCTAATGTGCATTCTGAATCTCTAAGAGGAGGATATAGTGTCTGGTCTTTCTCAAACCTCTTTGATTAAAGATCCCCTCCCCGGGGCTGGCCCTGTGGCTTAGCGGTTACATGCGCGTGCTCCGCTACTGGCAGCTTGGGTTCGGATCCCAGGCGCGCACCGACGCACCGCTTGTCCAGCCGTGCTGAGGCGGCGTCCCACATACACCAACTAGAAGGATGTGCAGCTATGACACAGCTATCTACTGGGGCTTTGGGGAGAAAAAAGGGAAAAAAAGGAGGAGGATTGGCAATAGATGTTAGCTCAAGGCCAGTCTTCCTCAGCAAAAAGAGGAGGATTGGCATGGATGTTAGCTCAGGGCTGATCTTCCTCACACACACACAAAAAAATCCCCTCTCCTCCATTTTTTTTTTATCCAAAGAGAAAGTCACTGGGCCAGAAACACTTTGAGAAATGGTGTTCTAGACCGGGGTTTCTCAGCCTTAGTCCTGTCGACATTTGGGGCCAGACAATTCTTTGTTGTGAGGGTTGTCCTGTGCGTTCTGGGATGTTGATCAGCATCCCTTGGCTCTACCTTCTAGATGCCAATAGCATCTCCCTCTCAGCTGTTGACAATCAAAAATGTCTTCAGACATTGCCAGATGTCCCCCAGGGGTCAAAATCTAGTTGAGAACCACTGCCCTAGATTAATATTGCAATAATATTCTGGGGAATTATAGGGTCCGTTAACAATTTCTATCTGAAATTTTCCTTTTAATGAGGAAGAAACAATAATCTAGAAAGTGGAAGCACAAGTAGAGAAGGTTCAATACAATCTACTGTAATAAACTTTCTGGATCCATTTTATACCCTGGCCTAATTTTCTCGTAATTATTATGTGGAGAACTTACTGCAAAAAATAATTTCAAACTTTGCAGAATATGGGAGAGACAAAATATATATTTTTTATTGAAAGAGTAGCCCAGATATTTATATTGATCTGCATATGAGGGTATTGCATATTTCTAAAATCTATTTTTTCCCTTTTTTATGCAGGGCTATTTTCTTCTTTTTGAGTCTATGTTAGATTCTGTCCTTTATGCAAAGAACAAATACTTGGCAAAAGGAGGATCGGGTGAGTATAAAATTCTAGTTTTAATAATCTAATTTTAGTCTGGCAGAACCAAATGAACCTTTGGATTTCAAATAAACTATGCATGACTGAGAAAGTTCCCAATAGAGATGAAAGATGTCTCCATTAGATGAAGCTTTGACATTCATTTACTATACTATTGATAGTAGAACATTATGTAAGATATGCAGGACTATGATATTCTCAAGAACACTTTTTATAAAAGTGGAACATTATGTAAGATATGCATACATAATGGTTAATGTATTCTCAAGAATACTTTTTATAAAAACACTAAGAACTGGGATGGCCCAGTGGCATAGTGGTTAAGTTCTCTCGCTCCTCTTCCGTGGCCTGGGGTTCGCAGGTTCAAGCCATGCTGTGGTGGCGTCCTACATATAAAGTAGAGGAAGATGGGCAGAGATGTTAGCTCAGGGTGAATCTTCCTCAGCAAAAAAAAATAAATACTAAGGACTAAGTTTGTAAGCTATTTGATATTCATATCAAAATCTAACAGAAACTCCTTTTGATTTTTAATCCTTATGACATTGAGTACTTTTCTTTCTGGTAAAATATTTCATACTAGGCTGGAGATTATTCACTTCAGTGGCAAATTTTCCGTGACTTCACTAAATCTATAAACTTTGCTTCTCTGATTTAATGAGAACATTTAAAAAGTGAGTGACTTCTACCAAGTTTTTAAAGTGCAACATATCCTATCAGTATTTTTATTTTTATTTATTTATTTATTTATTTTGTATGTGTGTGTGTGAGGAAGACCAGCCCTGAGCTAACATCCTGACGCCAATCCTCCAGTTTTTGCTGAGGAAGATTGGCCCTGGGCTAACATCCATGCCCATCTTCCTCTACTTTATATGGGATGCCGCCACAGTATGGCTTGACAGGCGGTGTGTCTGTGCGCGCCGGAATCCAAACCTGCGAACCCTGGGCCGCTGAAGCAGAGCGCTCTCACTTAACCACTACACCACCGGGCCGGCCCCGACCTATCAGTATTTTTAAATGGATCCCAGTAAATTTGGAAGGCGTCTTTTCATGACCCTGGTAAACTTTTCATCATATTAACTCTGCCTACTCAGAATAAGATTGTATTCTTACAGGCCATCTGCTATGAACAGTTATATACAAACACAGCGTTCTCTTGCAGGGCAGGGATTATGTTTTGCTCATCGTCGACTCTTCAGCAAGCTCCAGAGCTCCTGAAACATAGATGGAGAACCATCAGAACTGAACTGAAGAGTTCAGTCGTTCTCCCTTCACTCACTTCCCCCTGCGCCTTCCCTTTCTCAGAGCTTCAGGTGCAGCACATGGTTTCCGTGGTCAAGTACAGTTGACAAAACTGTTATATGAAAGTGGATGAGAAGGAGGAGACATTTGGGACTAGTAACATAAAGAATTTGACCATACTGAAGCCTCCTGCCCATCCGTGTTCTATGAAATTACTTTCGTAGTTACGCTACAATAAAAATCAGGCCAAAACACAAAGCACAGAAAATGCTCCAGTATAATAGATTTTTTTTTATAATAGCATTTAATGATTGCCTTTTGTTTTCAAAATGCTCACATTTTATCACTGTATTTTTTGTAATCATTTAAAGATATGTTCCTGATCTCTGACATGAACCTGGCTAGAATTTTTAGATAATATTTTATCCTGCAACAGTTGACTATATCTTTCTGTAATTGCAATGGCTTTTTTTAAATGACCACTGTACTTAATGACTGAAAACTAGTATTATCTACCATTTGTTGAGTGTCTACTAGCTACCGAATAATATACTCTCCCTTTCTGTTATTACATATCATTCTCACAACAGCCCTTTGAGATTTTAGAAACAAAAGTGTCCTGGATGACGTATGCTAAGTGGCCAAGCCTTGATTTTTTTTTTTTTTTAACTCAGATCTGCTAGATTCCAATAGTCATGTTCTTTTCGCTGTCCCTTGTTGTTTCCCTACTAAAGTGCACTTTATTGAATCTGATTCTTGCCTTGAAGTTGTTCTAGGGAAGAATCAGAAAACTGTTTCCATACCTCCCTGCGTGGTATTCATTGATCTTACTGAGGGACTGACAGCAACTTAATGCATTTAAATTGAATCCTCGATGAAATTCATTAAGAACTTACAGCATGCGAATAATGAGGTTATAGTTGATGAAACAGTGGCAAAGCTATTTCCCATCATCGAGGCATAAAATGGAGGCTCATAAGTCTAGCTCTTTCCATATTTTTATGTAGCTGACATTAGCACTAAGATAATCTGGAGGTATATTGAAGAGGGGTCAGCATTTAACTGCCTAAGCAGTGCTGTGAAATGTTATTTGTTAACAGAATCAAGAGAAAAGAAGGGAAAATCAGAAATGAGTAACATGACGTGGTTTTGCCTGGTTTATGTATTTGAGTTTGTCTAAATGAATATCACCAATCACGTACATGCTCATTCTTCTATTGCAAAGCAAAGTTTTCTTTTTATGTTTTTCTGAAGGAAAGATTTACTAAGGAATTAGTAGTGTAAAGATTTTAGAAAGAATGATTGAATTATGAGAGAGGGAGAATATTGAAGACCCATATAAGGATGAAGGGACCAGGATTTATTTTTACATGAGTTTAGGTTTAATTTATGTCTTACTATATATATTAATGGCATGGAGTAAAACCTTTGTAAAACACAGTCAGCCAATAACTTGAGTATTCATTCTTCTTGTTATCGTGGAGCAATTCCACAGTACTGTACAGGTGCTCATTTACTACTATTACTACTAAGAAAAATAATCTTGTAAAGGTAATGAAAGTGGGTTTACTAAAGACAACTTCTACTATTTTTAGCTGAGATTTACTAAGCACTAATTGTGTGTCAGATATTATAGTGTTTTACATTCAACCAACCGAGAGATAAGGAGGAACACTAGGAAAATGTTTAACCATGACCGGTGTGTACTTTTGCAACTGGAATTATGACGAAAACAAATGTATGTTTTAGGGTGACAACATAGAATGTAAAATTTTTATAACCTAACAATGTCAAATGCTACATCTCACAAAAATTGGAAAGAGAATGCAGAAGGCAGGTGGGTGGAAGTGTGTGTACTTCAATTGCTTTATCTTTAATAGCAGGAATTTATGAAATATTTAAAGCTGACAAATCAAGTAACAGAATTATAAGCACATTTAGTACTACAAAGGTAATATTAAAAATGATACTATTGATTAAAATTGAGTGGTGAGGCTTGTGGTGATAGATCCTGTCTATATCTTGATTGTGGTACTGACTACAAGACTATGTATTTATCAAATCACATAGAATTATATGCAAAAAAGAGTGAGTTTTACGGCATGTAAATTGTACCTCAATAAAAATGACTTTAAAAAAAAAAGTGAAGTGGCATTTCCCACCTCCTTCTGGTCAAATGAATTATGACATGATTTGACTGCTAACTTTCCTGAAAAATATATTAAAGGTGTGTGCTAATTCTATGCCCACTTCTGTATTTGTTGTTAGTATTATCAATACATCTCTCTCTTTAATTTTAAAAAAATAATTGGGTAATTAAAAAGAGGGAAGGGAAAAGGAAGAACAAGGAAATAGACTAATTTTATCATTACTCATGATAAGAGATTAGTAAAAGTGTTGAAAATAGAGAACTAAAGATATTCTATAAGGTTGTAATTATAAAGTTAGCTACTAGAACAAAAATACAAAAATTCCTAAATATATGAACTAATGCTCAGGAAAAAAGCAAAAAGAACTACTTAAAAAACAAAACAAAACAAAAACTACAGAAACAGAAAAGATAACATGAAATGGTAGAATTGTGAACAAAAAAATGATTCTCATATCAATAAATGTAAATGGGCTAAACTCACCTATGCAAAGAAAAAGAATTTCAGATTGGGTCACAAAAGAAAACCCAATTCTGTGCACTTTATAGATGCACACCTAAAACAAAGTTATTCAGAAAAGTTAAAAGGATGACAAAAGATATTCAGGCAAATCCCAAAAATTGAAAACAGCAGTCATGAATAGAGTTTAGAGCTAAGGAACAAAAACATACCCATCTCTATAGATACTGAAAAGTTTTTTTGACATAATACAACTTACATTCTGAGTTTTTTTTTAAAAATGAAAAAATAAGACTAGTCAGAGACTAGCTTATATGATAAAGTATGTTTATCTCAACTGAAAGTCTGTATCATGTTTAATGGGGAAACACTAAAAGCATTTTCTCTAGAGTCAAAACAAGATTGGAATGCCCATTATTATACCACTGTTTAACATTTCACCAGAGGTACTACTCAGTGCAGTTAGAAAAGAGAAAGAGTATAGAAGATAAATTTTAAAAGGAGATAAAACTAACTCTTATTTGTAGCTTCTTTGATTCAAACCTAGGAATGTCAAGTGAGTCAACTGAAAAATGATTATAAAGAAGAAATTAGTATGTTATAGAGATACAAAATAACATAATTAGAAGTAAGCAAAACTTTTATGCAGACAACTTTACTACTGAAGGACGCACAAAGAAGATTTAAATAAATGGAAAGACATACCATGTTCTTGGATAGAGAGAATCGATACCATAAAGATGTCAGTTCTCCCAAAACTAATTTAAAATGCAGTACAATCCAGAAACATTGACAGTTGTTGAAGATAGATGATAGGTATGAGAATGAATTATGCTTTTCTCTATTTTTTTATATATTTGAAAATTTTAGTAGAGTTAATTTTCTAAAATTATAATGTAATCCCAACCAACAGGTTTGGTTTTTTCAATTAGGATTTTAAAAATTCTTAATAGGAATGGCAAAGAAAACTCTTGAGATAGAGGGGTACCAGGGTAGGAGTAGGGGGGCAGGAAGAATAGTGCTACCACATATTAAAATACATTATAAAGCCTCAATAATTAAAACAATATATTACTGGTTCTTAAATGGACAGATGAGTTGAACAGAATAGAAAATCCTGGTATAGACCCAATAATATATGACATCTCA